ATATCCCTGCTACAAGCTGCCATCAGGTTTCCAGCTTGTCCCATCCAAACTCGGTTACCTACTCAGTGGACGACAGGATCAACCAAACAAAGAAAGAGAAGCAGAAGACATCTCAACAACGATCAACTCCCTCGTCAATTTCGACGAGGAACTGGAAAGGTGGGACAAGTATTGGACGATGGACTCTGCCGGCATTTGCGAATTCACGGGAACGAAAAACGCTGAAAAAGAAGCGACCAATGCGAAAGTCGCAGCATTCTTCGAGGAAACAATTCAGAAGCGCGCAGATGGTTACTACGTGCGATTTCCATACAAGGACAACCATCCTCCGCTACCGACCAATAAAGCCATTGCGCTCAAGCGATTACGGGCAGTCATTGAGTCGCTCAGAAAGACACCAGCACTGCTAGAAGCGTATGATAAGACCTTCAAAGAACAGGAAGAAAAAGGTATAATTGAAGAAATTCCAAATACACTTGCGCGGATAGCTCAGTAGTACACTACATCCCGCATCAACCCGTCGTGACTCCCCATAAAGAGACCACCAAACTGCGCATCGTCTTCGATGCTTCGGCACACTTCCGAGATAGTCCATCGTTGAACGACGTACTTCATCAAGGTCCTCTCATACTTCCAGAATTGTACGCCATGCTGCTGAGATTCCGCATACCCAAGTACGTCATCATCTCGGATGTAGAGAAAGCCTTCCTTCAAGTACATCTACAGGAAGCAGACAGGGATGCGACAAGATTTCTGTGGGTGAGGAATCTCAGTGCACCCGTAGACAACGACAACATCGTAACGTTGCGCTTCACTCGAGTAACGTTCGGACTAAACGTCTCGCCCTACTTGTTAGCTGGAACTATACATCACCATCTCAAGCATGAGGTAGAAGACCAAGCGCTCGCAAAAGAAATTCGAACAACTTATACGTTGATAACCTCGTGCTCTCCGCAGAAACGGAGGAAGAGGCAAAGATGAAGTCACTAAAAGCGCGCCAAATTTTCAGAGACATGGGAATGAACTTAAGAGAATTCCTATCCAACGACACTACCTTGCGTCAAGGTTTACCGGAGGAGTCATGCGCAAAATCCAACACGCATAAAGTGTTGGGCATCACTTGGAACGCACTAAGCGATTGTTTGAGCATGTCGTGCACCCTGTCACAAGCCAACGCATTAACTAAACGCATAGTTACTCGTCAAATTGCTTCAATATACGATCCAATGGGTTGGCTGTTCCCCTACTGATGCCCCCAAAAAAGTTCCAGCAAGACTTATGGAAACAACGTTTCACGTGGGACGCCAAACTACCGCCGCCCATAGTCGCACAATGGGATGCAATATAAAAAAACATTGAGACGGTTTCCAAATATAACTTCCTAGGCGCCTTATTGAGAGTTTGGAGCCCCAAGATCTCGCACTGTTTGCAGATGCAAGTGAAAATGCAATCGCGGGACGTGTGCGCTTTATCTCTTCCGAATAGTTTCATCCACACTGGTCATGGCAAAGGGAAACTACCATCCGTAAAAACGACCACAGCCATGCCGAAACTAGAAATGAATGCACTTACGCTAGCTGTGCGTCTAAGCCCTTCTCTATTGCACAAAGCCCCTCCGATCTCAGTATTCGGAGCACCCATGGTAATGTGTACACTATTATATATATATATATATTATATTATATATATATATATACTATATATATATAGTAATTGTTTTTTATTAAACGCGCAAGTCTGTTTGTTTGTCTGTTTGTCTGTCTGTCCGGAAATTCGGAATCACCTGAAGAACCAGTTGGAGGGGGCGGGTCAAGGGTGGGTTGGGTAGGGCATGGGTCAAGATGTACGGAACACACATGAACTGAGCTAAGCTCCGCCCACTGTGGGCGGGGCATGCGCACGTTTGTGAGCTACATAGTTCAAAAATTCGTAGTTCGGTTCTAGAAGATCCCGGAGAGCGGAAATTGTGGGAGAAGGATAAGCAGTCAGTTGGCGGATGAAATGAGGGAGTCACACCCGTGATGGACGAGGGCGTGCTATAGGTGGGCGGTGCTCGCTACACAGAACTTTCAAAAATTCGTAGTTCGTTCTAGAAGATCCCGGAGAGCGGAAATTGTGGGCAAACGATAAGCAGTCAGTTGGCGGATGAAATGAGGGAGTCACACCCGTGATGGGCGAGGCGTGCTATAGGTGGGCGGTGCTCGCTGCAGAACTTTCAAAAAATTCGTAGTTCAGTTTTAGAAGATCTCCGGAGAGCGGAAATTGTGGGCAACGATAAGCAGTCAATTGGCGGATGAAATGAGGGAGTGAGACCCGTGATGGGCGAGGCGTGCTATAGGTGGGCGGTGCTCGCTACAGAACTTTCAAAAATTCGTAGTTCAGTTCTAGAAGATCCCGGAGAGCGGAAATTGTGGGCAACGATAAGCAGTCAGTTGGCGGATGAAATGAGGGAGTCACACCCGTGATGGGCGAGGCGTGCTATAGGTGGGCGGTGCTCGCTACAGAACTTTCAAAAATTCGTAATTCGGTTCCAGAAGATCCCGGAGAGCGGAAATTGTGGGAAACGATAGGCAAACAGTTGGCGGACGGAATGAATGAAGCACACCCGCGATGGTTAGGGCGTTCGCCGAAATGAACGGTGCCGGGGACAAAAACCCTCAAAACATACCCGAAAAACTCCAGGAAACGGGGAGTAAGTGGAAACTGAGCAATGAGTTGGGCCAGATGAAGTTAGTTAGGAATAACCGTAGGGAGTATACCAAACGGTTGGTGCCGTTTACTCTGCGCTTCCTCATCACTGACGAGAGTGCCGTATAGAAAATTTTGCTGACTGTCTTCTAGGGGGGGTATATACAAGCAGTGAAACGGTAAAGTGCGGTAATTCTCAAAACAATTTTTTTTTCGACCATTCGGCGATCCGATCCGACTGGCCCTCCCTCTCATGGAAAACTTCTCACCGGGACCCACTTCACACCCGGAAGGAGGATCGGCCGGGTCGGATTCCCAGATAGCGCTCAGTTTGCTATCGTCCTCCAAACGAAGAAGCCTAGGAGTGTTAGTCACAAACAGACTTCTCGAAATTCGCCGAATCGTGCAGAAACTTAATGAAGATGGAACGAACGTGACATTCGCCTACGTGAACACATCGGAGAAATCCAGCGGACGCTGGAACCCGAGGACTTTCGAAAGAAGAACTGGACAGGCACATTTGGTGGACAGGTCCATCTTTCTTGACACAACCACGGAAGTACTGGTATAACACGTTCTATCAACTTGCGACGGATGAGGAATGGATCAGAAAGAGGTGTAATTGACGACGAATGTAACATCGGTGCAATAGGAAGTCGAACTCTGCCAGTCAAGGACCTACTCTGCTGGGAACGTTTTAGTTCCCTTACTGCAGCAAAGAGGGTAGTAGCAATAGTCTTACGCTTCCTGCAAAAAATAACACACTCCTCTGAATCAAACCATCAAAGAACGAATTGCCACAAATATCCCCGAACTTAAAGACGCAACAGGCATCTCAGGACCTCTGATCGCCATTGAAATCAAAAATGCGCGCCTCGTCCTCATACGCAACCACCAGTCCATACACTTATCGGACAATTACAAAAAATTGATGGAAACAGCCTTAGGTTATACAAAGACAGCAATCTTTTATGGAGATCAAAAGGGAGACTAGGGAACGCCCTGCTTGAAGACGAAGCCAAGAGCCCCTTTTTCATCACACCAAATACGCCATTGGCGAAATAATATACTTGAGAAGCGCCATGGACGTCTTACCACTAGGCGGCATAGAACACACAATTATTACCGTACGCGAGTCATATTGGATAATTAAGTTGCGACAACAAGTCCGAAAACTCATCAGCTCATGCGTAAAATGTCGAAGATTCAACGCGCTACCATATCGCTACCCAGAAACAACGGATCTCCCATGTCAAAGGGTAGTCAGATGCCGACCATTCCAAAACACAGGCCTGGACTTCTTCGACCTTCCTCCCTGTAAGGAACACGGGAAGGTAATCAAGCTATACGGTTGCATTTTTACATGCACCACTACACGCCTTATCCACCTGGAAGTTGTCAGAAGCATGGCCACGGAGGAGTTCATAAATGCACTTCGGAGATTCATCGCGCGCAGGGGACTCCCACAAACCATTACATGCGATAACGCGCCTACGTTCTTACTGACAAAGAACATACTGAGCGAAAGTCCAGCCAATATCGACACGCGAATTAGCCAAGAAGCAGCGAACAAAGAGATTCAGTGGAATCACATAACGCCATACGCACCATGGCAAGGAGGATTCTACGAACGGCTGATTAAATCTATAAAACATGCAATCTACAAAGCCTTGGGATCTGGAAAGCGCCACTCCTTAGACGAGATAAACACATTTGTCGCCGAGGTGGAAGCAACCTTGAACACAAGACCACTAACTTATCAAGGAGAAGCGCAAGAAGCAATGACATCCATCCGTCCAATTGATTTCGTACACCGGAACATGACGCTAACACTCCCGATTTCTGAGAACATCGACACCAGAAGCGATTCCGACTATCTTCCTCCAGACGAGACTCGAAGGCTCCAATACAGACAAGAAGTCATAGAAGCACTCCAGTCAGCAGACCGAGAAGCACAACGCTTTTGGGACATTTGGCAACAACAATACTTACTTTCTCTACGAGAAGTGCACAGGAAACACGTGTCCACTCGCAGACAAGGTACAGAATCCCCGAAGATTGGAGATGTGGTTCTTGTCAGCGATCCCGTGCTGTCTAGGAACGAATGGAAGATGGGTCGTATAACAGGATTGCGATACAGCGCTGATGGCGAAGCTCGCGAAGCCGAATTAGTAACAAGCACAAGAAGGACAATTCGCCGCCCTGTCAACCTATTGATTCCCTTAGAAATCCAAGAAGCACAAAAACAGTCTGAAAATTGCGCACCGCTACAGCCTCACTCTAACCCACAATGCGCTAAACCCCTTGGCGAACAAACTTAAGGCGCTCATCCCTACAATTTGAGGCAGCGAAGAAAGCCAGAGAGTAGCGTCCAAATAGTCACATCTGGCAGTGTATGCAACTCAAACCGATTTTCACCCAAGTGGTTTCTCTTTCACATGATGATTCTTTTGCTTTCCCAAGTGACGTGGAGTAGCACAATCTCTTCCGTAAAAGAAATACAACGTAAACTCCTATGAATACATTAATAAAGCCGAAATTCAGAAGCCGAAAGTGAACCAAACGTCAAAAACATGCGAGAGTAAAATAAATGACGCTCAAAAGTTTTCTTATAACATTCATCCGAAACCTTCACCAGTCATCATATTGCAAGTCCGCATGTTTCAGAACATGGACATGAACCACAACCACAACGAAATTGTGCGCAGTCGAACAACAACTGAAAGAAATTCAACTAGAGCTTCAACAGCTACCAATACCGGATCAGTTGTGCGATATTGTTCCGTCAATGTTGTTGTGAATTTTTATGATTGCATACACACAACGATAACCCTCAACGAACGGCACCTTAGCTAAAAATAGTCAGAAAAGGCCTTTTTCGAAAGAAATATGCGCTGAAGAAACGATTACTGAATGCCAAAAAAATATATATGAGTTGAGCCGAAAAAATATATATGAGTTAGTTGATCAAATTTTTTTGTTTTTTGTCTCTCCCCATTTATACGCGCCGGTGAAAGTCCTTATTGGTAAAAGGTCCACAAGCCCACGGATGCGCCGCATGGACGCTCTCATACCTGATGT